GCCGCAGAACTTAGAAAATATTTTCGAAGCATACACGCACGCTCCGAGATTTATTTTATATTCCAAGTTCAGCGGCACCCGGTATTAAGACACAAAAATGTCAGAATTCAATACAGGTTTTTATATATACAGATCGATAGAGAATTAAATTTCCTATCGATTAAACACAACTTATTTTTTCATTTTTTGCGAATTTTTATACGTAGGAAAATGGCATAAAAAAAAAAGTTTCAAGCATTGTTAGGTATTGAAAGATGCAGATTTACTTATAAATGAATTTTTAAAATTTTTTAGATACTCAGAAGTATTGTTTTCACGATACAATGAAATATAATGTAATGATTGTTCATTTAGTATTAAAAAGTAATTATTACGTAATTACGAGATTGTGCAAAAATTTCAAGAGAATTGAATTTCCTATCGATCTGTATATATAAAAACTGGTACTGAATTTTGACATTTTTGTGTCTTAAGACTGGGTGCAATGGAACTTGGAATAAAAAATAAATCTCGGAGCGTGCGTGTATGCTTTGAAAATATTTTTCAAGTTCCGCGGATATAAAATCTACCTCAATTTTTACCGAGGTGAAAAAAAAATTATTTGTGCAAAGAAGTCTCTTCTATTTCTATTCCTATCTTTATAACAATTTTTATGACTGCGTTGTTTTTATTACTCGACCTTTTTTTTGCCTACAGGGGCTCTACAATCCCCTTAATTCGTTATTGTATTTTTTCTCTTACACTTTCTGAAGAAGTGTGCTGTCTCAGTCGCTTCCCTGGTTTTTAATACCGCTGCTTCTTCGTGTGAGTGAAATAGAGATGTGTAGCACACATTTATAGTTTTTGGTACACTTAACTGGTGTAATATATTTGTGCTCACATGTAGAGCGAAAATTTTTTTAGTCCAATGAAGGGATGGCCGAAACCACCATTTTGCGGAAAAAGAATGAAACCAACGCGAAAATGTTCATAAAAGTCGTAGGAATATTATTGTAAAAAGTCAGCATCCTAAACGTAAAGGAACCCTTGCAAAAAAATTGCGAAAGCGTGCAAAAATGACTTTTTCGGTAATATCTCGAGAACGGCTGGAGATATGAAGAAAAGTTTTAAGTAAAAGTTGTAGAAAATTAAATTCTCTACAAAAAAGTATTTATACATTTTTTGCGTATCTCTTACCGTTTATTAATTATACGCCATCAAAGGTACCGTGGAATGTCGAATTTTTCAAAAAATTATTGTAGATGTAAAAATTTTTTTTTCTAAAAAAGACCAAATCAGAGGGCTTCTTTATTACTCTGACAATATTTTTGAAGGTAATGAGTTTTTCATTAATTAATATTAATTTGAAAATTTCAAATTAATTTTTTTTACACTTAATCGAATTGAATTTTTTTTTCTACACCATTCGATTCAGCGTAAAATTTACGTTACAATATGCTTTCGTACTTGGATTTTTATTTTAATCCACGTGAGAATGATGAAAAAAATTAATTGGGGGACTTTTCATTTCTTACGTTACTGCCGCTGAGAGAGAACGACATATCTCTCCTTCTCATTCGCACTCATTATATTTTTCTGCACATGCGCGGCGCATAAAGAAGTATAAGTGCAAGAGAGAACGGCAGTTTCTTCCGTTTCACTCACACTCACTGTACTTTTATACACGTGCGGAGTATACGACAAAATATAAGTACGAGTGAAATCGCATACTCCGCTAGTGGAAGCGCAACAGATAGAAAAGGGCTCATTGAATCCTACTGTAAACATATTAAATTTTATTACTGCTATTATTCTAGATGAATAGTCAGCAGCTATGGACATTCTTGATGTTGAGTCGAAAATGCTTTTTCACTCAAGTTGAAAATCTTTAAAAATTTTTCTAAGTTTTTAAAATAATTTTAAACTATGGAAAATTGGGTTAAAAAAAAGTAATAATTTTTATATATACAGATCGATAGAGAATTTAATTCTCTATCGAATGAGATCAACTTTTTTTTTTATTGCAATGTTGTTGCAAAATACAAAAATTTATCAAATTTTGCAACATTTTTCAATGATAATGTAATTGTAACATTGTTTCATACATGTGTGCAAATTTTTAAATATTTTTAAAAAATTTAAAAAATTCTTTTTGAAGAATTAAAGAAAAATTCTTTAGAAGGAAAGAAAAAATCTTTTTCAATAATTAAAAATTATTATCATAAATAAAATTACTACCATCAAGCTGTAAATTTACACACATATTCACAACATTTATACAAACATGCGTGCAACTTTTTAATTCTCCCCAATAACCGGAAGTTGACAATCAAATTTAAAAAAAAAAAAAAAAATGTAAGAGAAATATCTTCTTCTTGCAGAATTACAAAATATTATCATCAATAAAATTATTTTAATTATAGTTTAAGGCATGGGTCTGACACTTCCATACCTGCATCCCTACTTTGCCACAGACCATCATGCTTTAAGGGATCCGCGCATGTGCGTAAGTGAGACTCATAAAATAGTCTCACTTACGCAAAAAAAAAAAATATAAATATATAAAAAAAAAAATTCTTTTTTCGAGAAACAGGAAAATTAGTTATTATAAAATAGTCAGATGTTCTCACATTTTTAGAGCCAAGAGAAATTATAAAGAATAAAACATAATTTTTTATGCGCCGCGCATGTGTATAAAAATGTAGTGAGTGTGAGAGAAACGGAAGATACTGCCGTTCTCTCTCGCACTTACACTTTTCTATGCGCCGCGCATGTGCAGAAAAATATAATGAGTGCGAATGAGAAGGAGAGATATGTCGTTCTCTCTCAGCGGCAGTAACGTAAGAAATGAAAAGTCCCCCAATTAATTTTTTTCATCATTCTCACGTGGATTAAAATAAAAATCCAAGTACGAAAGCATATTGTAACGTAAATTTTACGCTGAATCGAATGGTGTAGAAAAAAAAAAAAAAATTCAATTCGATTAAGTGTAAAAAAAATTAATTTGAAATTTTCAAATTAATATTAATTAATGAAAAACTCATTACCTTCAAAAATATTGTCAGAGTAATAAAGAAGCCCTCTGATTTGGTCTTTTTTAGAAAAAAAAATTTTTACATCTACAATAATTTTTTGAAAAATTCGACATTCCACGGTACCTTTGATGGCGTATAATTAATAAACGGTAAGAGATACGCAAAAAATGTATAAATACTTTTTTGTAGAGAATTTAATTTTCTACAACTTTTACTTAAAACTTTTCTTCATATCTCCAGCCGTTCTCGAGATATTACCGAAAAAGTCATTTTTGCACGCTTTCGCAATTTTTTTGCAAGGGTTCCTTTACGTTTAGGATGCTGACTTTTTACAATAATATTCCTACGACTTTTATGAACATTTTCGCGTTGGTTTCATTCTTTTTCCGCAAAATGGTGGTTTCGGCCATCCCTTCATTGGACTATTTTGCAGGAAAGAAATATTAAATGATATTTCATTTAAATAATCCCATTTATATAAAAAAAAAGTTTTATACAAGTTTCGAACTGGCGAACGCTGGTTTTACAGTCATACATGTTCTGCTGAGCTATGGATTCCATTTAAAATTATTATTTAAGATAAATTCTAAATTACGATTTATGTTTTAGCTTATTTCGATTCAAAATGAATGTTATAAATTTTTTTTGAACATTAATTTCTAATATAAATAAGTAAAGAAATAAAATAAAAAAAAGTTTCATCTGAGATTTCAACCCGTGACCTCTGGCTTTATAGTCATGCATGTTTCCGCTGAGTTATGGATAGTACTTGAAGTGTATATTAAAAATAAATTCTAAATCATGAGCGTTTTCCATTTAGAAAAAAAAGTCGACACAGTGCAACACAGTGTCGACCATACTATAGCAAAAACCTAATGCCAACTAAAGCTTGGTAACTTCAATACTTTCATTGGCAACACTACTTTTTCACAACGACCAGCAAATTAATGATTGACTTTAAAAAAAAATAATGGATAATACAGGTAAATTGAGAAAATTATCAGATATAAAAGTTTTTCGTTATGAAATTAAGGTAGTATCTTTTATCATTTACACAATGCAATGCTATGTAAATGTCAATGTATGTATAATCTCAAAATTCTCATTTTTTTTAACATTTTTTTTCTCCTAGTAATTTTTATAAGCTGCCCTCTATCGAAACACAATAAAAGTAGATGTTCCATTTATAAAATTAGTCGACACAGTGTCAAACACAGAAAGGTTTTCTTTAAATGGAAAACGCCCAAATAAACTTTCAAATACATTATTTAAATAAATTAAACAATTAAAAAAATAGTTAAGCGGAATCGATAGAGAATTAAATTAATATCTTAAGTTGCATTTATTCTACATATACACGTAGAATAAGTACCCCAGAGAACTTAGAAAATTATTTGAATCTTGAGCATCAGTCCATCGCATTGAATTTATTGTTTCTCTTGCAAAGGAGGGAAGCGCGCTCAAATGACTCCGCCTTCCTATACTCTCTCCTAGTTCGAATCTAAGGTTTTACTGCTCTTTCTCGACTGCCCTGCCATCCTTCGGAAATCTTCATAAACATAAATTTCTGTCCAAGCGCTCCCATGTCAGTGATTCTTCTATTTACATCTCTATTCTCTGCTATAGTTCTAGTACAGTTACCGCTTTGGCACAAATGATCGCCTGCCGGGAAATCAGTCGCCTCCGTGACTTCAGCCCAGCCTTAACGATTTAGCCTTTTTCAGAGGGAAGAAGGATTCTTGGAATAAGAACGATTATTTAAACAATTTAGTTTATCTATTTATAAAATTTAAATTATTATTTTCTTTAGGTAATTAAACAAATATATTTCACTTCCAAACGTGTAGCTGTCTATCTAGCATCGATCTCCCAGTCTTTCTTCTTTTCGCCGCTGCTTACTCCTGGCGCCTTACTTGCCTGCTTCAGGGCTGGACTTGAAATCTTTAAATTTGACGCCCGAATTCTCGGAGCCGCCACAACGAAGCCGAAAGTCTTGCCCTCTGTTGAAATACAAAAGAAGTTAGTATTCCATTCATAACATTATTGAATACAGTGGCGACACAGTGTTTTATGTTCTTTTGTGTTTTCTAAATGAAAAACACCCAAGTGGTGTGGAGCCCGAAAGCATTAAAACAGCTGAGGAACTCTTTTCGCACCCCAATACATATATAATAATATTCATCGAGATGCATTTTGCATGTTTTTATTAGTTAAACTAGTCTATCGAAGTTCTTTTTTTTTGTTAAAAAGAAAAATTATAGATAACTCTTTTATTACTATTAAAAACATGACTACAATTCAGAAAAAGCCTTTTTATCGCCTTCCCACTAATGTTCGACCTTGTCATTATAACATAACCCTGGTTCCAAATATTGACAAATTCATTTTTCATGGGACACAAATAGTTGAAATTCAGGTAAGTTACGTATTTTCATAATTCAAAGTGATTTTTAACTTGTCGAATAATTAAAAATTTAATGACAACTTATAACAGGTGAAAGAATCTACGAACAAGGTTGTATTAAATTCTCTTGATATAGACATAAAAAATGTTACTTTTGATAATAATGATGGAGTACATATGAATACATCTAAAGTTGAATTTGTTCCATCTCAAGAAACTGCTATTTTAATATTCCCTGAATGTTTGGCACTTGGTTATGGAACTTTATATCTTGAGTTTGATGGGCAGATCAATGATAAAATGAAAGGATTATATCGCAGTAAATATCAAGGGTAATTTTTTTAGTATATTACATTCATAATATTTCTAATAAATACTATATAAAAAAGATATCTTAAATAATATGAGTACGAAGAAATGTTCCAATAGTTACTATTATGATAATTCAATAATTTCAGAACGATTGTTTTATTAATTAATACTCGATATTAGTTCACATCTAAATTGTAGTAGTTGGATTTATTTGTTTCACTTCTTGGTAGACAAAGCATGACATTAAAAGTAGATTGCTGTTTACTTACCTGAAGAAAGTCGTGTAAGTCCGCTTCTAAATTTTCCTTAATAGCTATGAAATTTATGTATTTTATCCTATGATAAAGTACAAACATGACACACTATTGTGCTATGGTCGTACATAATTAGTCAACAAGAGCTAGCTAGTTGTACACATATATATCTATATGAATATTGAGTATGTTGATGTAAATTGTAAGAATTAATTTTCCTAATAATATTTTGCAGCATTAACTTTAGTAAATACTCTTATTATAACTATTTTTCGGAAGTAATGAAATTTCTATGAGCATAAACATTGTTATTATTAACATTATTATTTTTATTAAGTTTTTTAACATCAAAAGACTCTAAATATCTATGTTTTATTTATACAAACCTTTCTTGTTCTAAAAAAAAATACAATTGTTATTATATAAATATAAAATTAATTGTTATTTTATATTGCAGAAGTGACGGAAGTATAAAATATGCTGCCGTGACTCAATTTGAAGCGACTGATGCAAGACGTTGTTTTCCATGTTGGGATGAACCATCGGTAAAAGCAACATTTAGTATAACGTTGAAAATACCCATTGGTTATGTTGCTCTATCGAATATGGTAAATATTTCAATATTACACTATTCTTCTTTATTTTTTATTGTTCAAAAATTATAGTAAACTCCTTTAGAGGTCCGACAATTTGGGACTCTCGAATTTTTGAGTTGATAATAAAAATTTCAAAATACAGTAAAAATTCATAGTAACAATGTATCTAAACACTTTTAATTAAAATTAAAACGAGTTAATCTTTACGGTATGTTGTTGGTTAAATTATTTACATTCAATGAATTTAATAATTTTTTTTACTCTTAATTTTTAAAAGTTCTAAATATTTAAAAGTTAATTTTGACTATTAGTAATTCATATTTTTATATAGATTAATCAAAAATTCTCATTTAATTTTTATTCATTCTTATAGCCTGTCGAAAAATGTCAAGTTTATGACAATCTTGAAGTTCTGACTTTTTTAAAAACACCGATAATGTCAACATATTTGTTAGCCATTGTAATTGGAGAATTTGATTATCTTGAAAGTAAAACAACCGATGGAACTATCGTTCGAGTTTATACACCAAAAACTAAACAAGAGCAAGGAAGATTTGCTTTAGAAGTGGCTACTAAAGTGTTGCCTTATTACAATACATATTTTGGTATATCGTATCCTTTACCAAAAATGGATCTTATTGCTATTGCAGATTTTTCTGCTGGGGCTATGGAAAATTGGGGATTAGTAACTTATAGAGAAACTTGTTTATTAGTAGACCCTCAAAATACATCTGCAGCATCAAAACAATGGATTGCTTTGGTTGTTGGACATGAATTAGCTCATCAATGGTTCGGTAATCTTGTGACGATGGAATGGTGGACTCATTTATGGCTTAATGAGGGTTATGCGTCATTCGTTGAATTTCTCTGCGTTGCACACTTGTTTCCTGAATACGATATTTGGACTCAATTTGTTACTGATACGTACATAAAAGCATTAGAATTAGATTGTCTAAAAAATAGCCATCCTATTGAAGTACCTGTTGGACATCCTACAGAAATTGATGAAATATTCGATGATATCTCTTATAATAAAGGTGCTAGTGTCATACGAATGCTTCATTCGTATATAGGAGATGATGATTTTCGTAAAGGAATGAATTTATATTTAAAAAGACATAGTTACGCTAATGCTGAAACAGAAGATCTCTGGGCAGCGTTAGAAGAGGCAAGTCATAAACCTGTAGGTGCTGTTATGTCAACATGGACAAAACAACAAGGTTTTCCTTTAATTACTGTAAAGCAGTGCCAAGATGGTAATGACAGAATTTTGTTACTATGTCAAAGTAGATTTCTCGCTGATGGTTCCGAAGATCAAGAACAATGTTTATGGATGATACCTCTAAGTATCAGTACCTCCAAGTCTCCTGACGAAGTTGCATTCAGTACTGTTATGAGTGAAAAAAATCAAAAAATTATCATGAAAGATATACCAAAAGAATCATGGATAAAAATAAATCCAGGAACAGTTGGGTTCTATCGTACACGTTATAGTCCTGAAATATTAGATTTGCTCATTCCTGCAGTTGAAAATCGCACCTTACCACCTTTAGATAGATTAGGACTTCTTGACGATCTTTTCGCCATAGTTCAAACTGGTCATGCTTCAACTATTCAAGTACTTAAATTCATGAAGGCTTTTCAATACGAAGATAATTATACTGTGTGGTCTAGTATCGTTAGTATACTTGGAAAAATCAGTCTTCTAATAGGTCACCTTGATATTCACCAAAACTTTGAAGCATTTGGTCGTACTTTACTTAAAGATATTACCAGAAAATTAGGTTGGGATTCGCACCCAGGGGAGAGCCATTTAAATAATTTGTTAAGGTCACTCGTTTTAAATAGAATGGCTATTTTTAAAGATACAGATATTATTGAAGAAGCAAAAAAAAGATTTGAGCTTCATATTACGAAAAAATTACCACTTGTTGCTGATTTACGAACACCTGTTTATCGAGCTGTATTGTCAGTTGGCGATATCAATACTTATGAAGCAATGATTAAATTATACACAGAAGCTGATCTCCATGAAGAAAAAGATAGAATACTGCGAGCCTTAGGAACAATTTCCGATAGAACTTTACTTAATAAGGTTCTAGATTTTGCTATGAGTGATCAAGTTCGGGCGCAAGATACTGTTTTTGCAATAATGTCAGTTGCTCTTAATATCAAAGGACGTGACCTGGCATGGGAATTTTTGAAAAATAATTGGCATATTTTAATGAATCGCTACGATGGAGGTTTTTTGTTATCTCGATTAATTAAACATACAACAGAAAATTTTGTGACCGAAAGCAATGCCATAGAAATAGAAGAATTTTTTGAAAAACATTCGACTCCTGGTGCAGAGAGAACTGTGCAACAAAGTCTGGAAAGTATCAGACTTAATGTTGCTTGGCTTTCAAGAGATCAAGCAGCAATTGAAGATTATTTTAAGGTCAATATGTACTGAGATTTTTTAAGATATGGTATTATTTGTGAAATGTAATATTTACTTTTATTACGAATATTTAAAATATATTTCACTGAAATATGTGATCAATAAAAATCTTGATGACATATTAATGATTGTTCATTTTCATACAACATTTTTACAAATATTTAAAATATTTTCGCAAAAATAGATGTGTTGATTAATTTTTTGGTGGAACGTTATTGTAATAAGTCTTATTTTTCAAAGTCCGATAAATCTCTACGTTTTGACGTCTTTGTGTACATCTGTTTTGATCACTTTAAATATACTGTGATGTTTGTAGACGTATCCAATTTTTTATCATAGAGATCAATGGAGATAATAAATAAAGAATTATCTCCAGTATAAGTATGTAAAGTCACTTAAACTAAAAAAAAAAAAATTGCATATGACTAGGATCGAACCCTGCCCAGCAAAATAAAAAATTATGCCCAGCCCAGCTGTTGTGATTACAATAATATAGATGATGCTAAAAATTATAAGCTGCAGGTTTAGGCACAGAGAATGGGGGTAGAGCTTGCCGGTGAAGTGCCGAAACTCGCCGCGGATTGTTCAAACTATTTTTTATTGTTAATAAGTTGTTGAACACAGGCCATTATCAATGTATTTATATAAAAAAAAGGTTTATGGCTCCGTTCAAATATTTTCCGACTTAACGTCTATAAATTTAATGAGTAAAGAGAAAAAAAAATCAAATCGTTATAAAGAATTAATTATGGCATGTCAATATTATAATTACATGCTAATCTAACAAATAAAGTAGAAAAAAAGTGGTTATGACTGGGATCGAACCCTGCCCAGCAGAACAGAACTTCGACGCACTTACCACATGGCCAGCATAATCTCGATATTGAGTTTATGTGTATTTGTTTTTATACTACATGCTTGGATACGCCAACTTGGAATTGAGCTTTCTTATCAACATTTATATCTCATCAAAATGATAATAATGGATTAGTTATTTTTAGGTATTATATTAAGGCTGGGCTGTAGACAGATTCCCCCCTAGAAAGTTCCTAGCAAAGTTTCCTCTACAAATGACGGCGTCAAAAATTGATGAATTTAGTTAATTTAGGACTCAATCAAAAGCTTATTTCATTATTCACATCGGGAAACAACAATATAATAACATTAATTACTTTATCATAATAAAAATGAAGATGAACATATGCACTCACTTTTCACTAGATTTTAGAGGTATCATGGCGGATACCTCTGTCATCAGCCGTCAATAGAGATGTGAATTTACCGGTAATAGAAAATTCGGTAATTACCACGTAAAATTACCGGTATCTGACGGTATTCTGACGTCAAAAAATTCTGAATGTAAAATTTACCGTCAAGCCGTCGGTCAGCGTAATTACCGTAAATTACCGGTCATTCGCATCTATATAGATGAATATGATGAGCTTTTTACCGAGGAAATGGCTTGCTTTCGAACTTGCTTGCCAATTTGCTTAAGTTAATTTTGCTTTTTGCACTTGTTAATTTAAAACTAATTAATTATTATAAGATGAAAAAAAAATTTTGTAATTTGTAATAAAAAAAATATTTTACATTTTTGACTGTTAGGACAGAAATAATAAATATATTGAAACTTATTATAAACGTTTATTTAGTTAAGTTTTTGGTAAATTTTTTTTTATAAAATAGATAATCCTTCGTTATTACATATTATAAAGAATTTGACTTTTTTAACTTTTATGTAAATTATTTATGAAAAAATAAAACTATATAATCTATAGTTTCTATCAACTAGTAATATCACATAATAATTGACATATTTCATTAGGAAATAACAAGTCTGATACTGATTCAATTCCATCAACATCACTAATTAGTCTTGAGTAAATTCTTCTTCTAAAAATTCAACTTATTCATGCTCAGCACAAATTTCACTTATTTCATCCTCTCCTTTATTACTTTCCTCATCTTCTTCCCATTCTTCTTCTGTATTTTTTGGTGAAGGATTAAGTAATTTTAAATTTCTTGCAATGTATGTTATTTTTCCAGCTCTATCGATACTTAACTTATTTCTTTTAGATGAATGAATCCATCCTTGTGTACTAAAGGAACGCTCGGTTGCAGCTGATGTTGCAGGTAAAGTCAATATAGCCACAGCTATTTTGCTCAACGAAGATTTTTGGCAAATACTTTGCCACCATTGACATGCTGAAGTGATTATACTTGCTCGCTTAACGTAGTCGTAACTCCACATACTTGATTCTGACACATAATCTGTTAAATCTTTTAATACCTTATCACTATTTAGATTTAATTTATCACCAAGATTTATAATTAATTGATGAGCTTCAACCATTTCTGACCTATTTAAATTTTTTCCTTTTAATTGAGGATCAAGTAAGTTAGCTGCATAATGTATGGGCCGTAGAGCCATAGTTTTACGATTTTCTAAACAAGTATATATGCTCAGCTTTTCTTCTTCCGAAAAAATATTTCCAATATTATTAAATGCATTATTAAAATGATTATATAAATCATAAAAACATTCAGGTACTTTATTTAGGTTAGGTTAGGTTGCAGAGGTAATGCAGAGAAATGTTTATATATTGATTTGTTCTCCCCCATTGCACCAAGTTCTCAATGAAAATCCTTATCTACAAATTGAATTTTCTTATATTAAATATTATCAGTATTTTTAATAAACAAATAAAAATGAAAATATATACCTGATAGAACAAATAAACATTTGTATGCCGTTGGGAATTCTAAACTGTGATTGGACATGTATTAACCAATCAGAGATCAGCATTTTTCTGACCGATATGGTAAAACAGGCTTGGTCATTGACGCGTTTTTTACCGGTAATTTACGGTAAATTTACCCGTCAATTACCGATTCACATCTCTAGCCGTCAACGCAAAAATGATTTATTTTACAATAATCACTGTATCTATACTGTAAATCGTTGTTTTCCGATATACATACTATTGTTCGGAATATTTAAAAAAATATTTTATAATAAAAAAACAAATAAATAAAACACAGGTGGCGCAGCAATGGTCTCTGAAAGGCATGGAATGATTATTGATTTTTACGACAGTGCGTATCAAAATTACTCAGGGCCCTAAGACAAGTGACAAAGAGCGATATATCTTCTGTCGCAGTCTTACTCATTCTATCTTTCTGCGCATGTGTTGCACATACAAAAGAATGAGTAGAAGTAAGAAAGGCTCGTGTTCGTAGAAAGAGAGAGGCATACGACAATAGGCAGCGAGTTCTGGCACTTCGCCGGCAAGCTCTATCCCCTTTCTTCAAACCTAATTATAATTGGCTCAGTTTCCACCGGAGCCGAGTTGAAAAAACATTGAGACGAGATGAAAGCGTTTCCACCAGAGGCGGACTGCGTTTTCAAGCGTTTCTACCTGATGGTCGAGTAGAGGCGAGTTCAAAATTCCGAAAAATTTCATAACTACACATATTTCCGATGGTGGAAACGGAAGAAAACGCACACAACTCAACCATCCCAAGAAAGAAGGTAGAGTTGGAATGAAAATATACCGTTTCCACCGGAATCGAATGTTTGCGGGAGAAAAAAAACCTGTTTTTTAAGTCTTGTAGAATCACGGCCTCAAAGAATAAATCATCAGATAATCCACTAGATAGCAGAAATATGACATGATTATCAACGAACAAAATAACTACAAATTACAAACTAAAAAATAAATGTACCCAAAATTAATATTTAATTTATTTCTCCTTAAAGCAATGAGCATATGTAATGAAATCTTGCTCCGCTGGTGTTAAGTTGTCGTTTTACAATGAAATACTCTTCTGTAAAAAAAAAGATTTATATTTTTGTGGAATTTCAACATTTCAAATAAATTTCTTGACCACAATTTCTTTAAAAAAACAATAATTAATACATTAACCCAGAAAATTTAATATGTTTCTACTTACTTTTTCGAGACTTGTATTTATTCCGTATTTGGTCGAAATTTCTATTATAGCCTATGTTTTCCAGAGCTTCTGCTACTATTTTGAAAACATCATTCGAGCGATATTTTTGCTGTCTAAAATTTCAACAATTTTTAATTCGGATACTACATTTAATAAACAGGTAACTTCGTCGTCGCTCCAAATATCTCTTTTCTTCTTTAAAATAATTTTATTCGTCGGATTATTTTCAGTATTCGCTACGTCGATTTCAGAATTAGAAGATTCAAGACACTCCAAATTGCAGTATCCATCAGACATTTTAAAAAACAACACTGATTTTTACAAATTATTTTTTAAATTGAAAATCCAAGGAATTACAGTGTGAATTTATAGTAGCTTATCCCCACTACCAGAAATGTCGTTACTATAGGAACAGGAGCGTAGCTTGTTGATGTGTCAAAACGAATAGGACAACGGGAAAGTTTATTGAAAAGTAAAGTGGGAGAAATTAAAGATGTTAAATATTCATTGATAGCTGAAAATGACGGAAATCCTTAAATAAAACAGAAAATAGATATTAAATTTTTATTTATGCGATCCTATTGTTCTGATAATTTATAGAACTTAATTCACATTACTACGTTAATATCGGAAGACGCCACAAATAAATCTCAACTTTAATTTAGACTTAACAATTGCTCATTTTGTACCATTCATTCCATATTAGACCACATTTTTATAAAAATTTCTTGTCTGACCAATCATTGAAAATTTTTCACAATTATGTATCTTACAATTCTCTGAATTTTTATTAACGAAAAATAAATTCCAAGTTGACAATTATAATTCTTTCATATCATACTACGCATGTCATAGCAGGAAATTTTACATTCATGACCGTATGCTTTGTGGAAAATTCACGACTGTTTGTCTGACCAATAATAAATAATTAATTTTCATTATCGTAATATACATTTTTATAATTTTTAAAAATTGCGAAACAATTCATTACACCATTTCTCAATCTGTTTATAGATTGGAATGTTCGCTATAGCAAAGACTTTTCATTTACTTTTACTACTTTTTACATTTTACAAATTTATTGTTTTGCTTCTATAATTATTTTACTAATCAATGACGGAAGAGTAATAAAGAAATCAAACAGTGTAGAAAGATTTATCTTTATATAGCAACATTCGTTGTAGTATTTTTTTTAACAAACGAAAATAATAAACAGCAAAAAACAGTTGAAACGATCCGCGGCGAGTTCCGGCGGTTCGCCGGCGAGCTCGTATCCCACTCTTCGTACCCAAGTCTACAGCTTATGACTTATAAACATGTAAGTAACAAATGAACACATATTAGCTCTGTGGTCAGAGCACGCAACTTTTATTTTGCCGATAAGCGTTCGATCCCAGCCACGGCTAATTTTTTGTTTTTTTTATATTCGTTAAAATTACAGATAATTACAATAATAACCTATTCATATTAGATTAAAATTGTTTTCTAGAGTTTTATACAATCTACATTTTTTAATAAAGAGAATTCGTAGTAACTGTACATGTCGTTTTTGGAAAAATTCAGAAATTAATTTTACACTAATATGAATAGGTAATTATGATAATTATATCCCACCAAAAACATTTTTAACCAATGAGAACCTTTTGTATTTTAGATTGAGAAATGGTCACTTACTAATTTTTAGGCTATTCATTTATTTCTTATCAAAGAAAATATATTTAACAACAATATTATTAAATTAATATAATAAATTAATGATTAATTCATTTGTTATAGAATAAAATCTATTTAAATGCATATCACATGTTGGAGGTTATACACTCGTGTTCATTAATGCCTTCCCATTACCATGGGAGAAATTACCGACCGAGACGGTTTTTTTTTATATGAATTATTCCATCTATTATTTTTCAAATATTCTATGATTAAATTCTCCTCCGGCCCTGCCCCCTCTTAAAAATAAATTTTCCTACTCCAAAACATCTTATTTCCCCTAATTTTAATTATTTCCCCTCATTTTTGACAGCTAACAAACATTTTTGTTTATAAATAATAAACAGTGTACAGTGTCAATTTTATAAATGTAAACATAACTCGTGTTGACATGTATTCGAGAGGCGAGTTATCATAGGATATCTAAAGATTTTTGTAAGTAATTATCAAATTTAAATTTAATTTAATATTACAGGTTATAATGTAATTAAAATATAATTGATATCAATTATATTTTATTATGATTTATCTCAATTTTAGAGCCGGCTTTCAAGTACTCTTTGGAAATTAAGCGATAGTAGTCAAAAAATTGATCAATTATGTGGTACATTCCAATGATAATAAGAAAAAAAGAAGCAAAAAGTTATAGTACAAAAAAAATGATTAAAGGTGAATACAAAAAAGGAGATAATTGTGTTATTATCGAAGATGTTATTATCAGTGGAAGTAGTATTTTAGAAAAGACTTAACTCCAGAAGGTTTGAACGTTACTAAAGCATTAGTAATTATAGACCGAGAACAAAGTGGCAAAAAAAATATAGAAAATGCTGGTATTAAAGTAAGAAGTTTGTATACTCTTACCAAGTTAATGAAGTATCTTTTTGAAGCTGTTAAAATTACTTTAGAAACGATTAAATTTTACGCTCTCGCTACCTGTGGTAACAACAAGATTTGAAAATCAATAGATAGATATCCTATGATAACTCGCCTCTCGAATACATGTCAACACGAGTTATGTTTACATTTATAAAATTGACACTGTACACTGTTTATTATTTATAAACAAAAATGTTTGTTAGCTGTCAAAAATGAGGGGAAATAATTAAAATTAGGGGAAATAAGATGTTTTGGAGTAGGAAAATTTATTTTTAAGAGGGGGCAGGGCCGGAGGAGAATTTAATCATAGAATATTTGAAAAATAATAGATGGAATAATTCATATAAAAAAAAAACCGTCTCGGTCGGTAATTTCTCCCATGGTAATGGGAAGGTATTAATGAACACGAGTGTACATAAAACTAATATGAATAGATAATTATTGTAATTATCTGTAATTTTAATGAATGTAAAAAAAAAAATTGGCCGTAGCTGAGATCGAACCGTCATCGGCAGCATAAAAGTCTGGCGCTCTGACCACAGAGCTAGGATACATTCATTTGAGAATACTAAATTTATTAACTATAAGCTGTCGGCTTGGATACGGCGAGTGGAAATAGAGCTTGTCGGCGAAGCGCCGGAACTCACCGTGGATTGTTTTGACAGTTTTTTGATGTTTATCATTACGAATTGTTTAAAAAATAATCTTTCAACTAATGTAGCTATACATAAGTATAAAGATAAGTTTTTTTACACTGTTTGTTTTTTTTATTATTACATTGCAATTATATGCAATTTAAAAAAAAAAAACATTGGCCATGACTGGGTTTGAACTTGGCAATTGGGAGAGAAAAAATTTGCGTACATGTTTTTGACATATCTAAGAACATGTATGCCAATTCTCGAACGTTCGTGATGACCGGAAGATGGACTGTTTAATTTTTAACTCCGCACATTTTGAGCCCAAAATCAGGCTGATCTGTGCATTTTAACGAAAATGAGAACGATTTAAATAATTCATTGTTAATAAAAATAATGAAAAAATGAATGAACGAAAAAAAATTTTCTTTGAAAATGTACTTTAATATCTCATTTTTCGAAATAAATCGCCACAAAGTGAAATTTGTAACGTTAAGAATTTTTTATTAATTTTCTCAGACGCGACTGGAGCTTCCGTCAATAGTGAAGCTTCAGTCGCGAATAACTTTTTATCTATCATAGATATGGAAAAAAGTGTTCAGTACTTTTTTCATTAAAATTAAATTCTGAACAACTTTTATTTAAAACATTTTTTCGTATCTATGATAGAAATCGAGAAATTCGCGATGGGGGGCGGTTTTTCGCGATGTACTCCTATGCGTGCCAAACATTTTTGACCTACACCATCGTGTTTCTCGCGAAATTTCCGATCTAGTCATCTATAAATCATCACTTTGGCAGTAGCAAATCAAAATTATCCCATTTCCGTTATTTGACTGGACTTTAAGGCATAGCAGATATGATAATATTCCACAAACATACAACCCAATAAACAACATCAATGAACGTCAGTGGATAATTGATAATTACTTTGATCGGTATGTAATTATAATTAAATCGGTTGTATCATGGAATCATTTGTGTTTATAATAATCCTTTCAGACTATAAATATTTGTTATTATATAAATAGACTGATTTTTCTAATTTCTTATGCAAACAAGTGGATCATAATATACATTCAGAATTTGAAGTAATATGCTACATATTTGTCCGTAACAACAAAATTATTATAACTCCGAATTGACAATAACATGGAAATAAATATGATGAAGATCAATCATGATGTTTACAAATGAACAAATTTTATGAGATCCCATTACGTTAAGTCCAAGTATTCAAAATGTTCAATTGGTTCAACTACTCAAACCCACTCTCAGTTGGTACCAAAAAATGGTCAAGAAAAGGTCAAAATAATAATGTAATGTCTTGTGTTTTTTATGGCTTTGTTTATAAATCAAAACACTCACTGCAATACCAAGATCGATTTCGAAAATTTTTAATCAATATTTCAAAAGTATGTACGGAGTTTTAGGCATCTGAATTAATTGAAAAATTGCGGAAGTAATTGTCAATAAATTTTCTTTAAGATTAAAATTGTTTGTTGTCCATATAATTATTTGATAAATCCATTAAACTCTGAAGATATATGTTGAGATTTTGCTAGTGTTACATTTAAAGTTGATGATCTACTGGTGTAATAAAAGATTGTAGACAATTAGAAATTAAATATATTATATTCAAAGAGATAACATTACGTTTTTCAGGCATGATACAGTTGCATACTGAGAAGTTTGTCATCGACGTATTCGGTTTTCTTTTTATGGAAAGTAAACAAAATACATTAACAAGTAAATATTGGTCAGGCAATGAGTTAATAATAATAAAAAAAATGACTGAAACATCAAAAAGTATTTTGTAACTTTTCATTCATATAACTTTCAAAGCAACGTGAATATGTAACTTATGTGATTACTTATAAAACTTTTTTTTTTTAATAAATATAAAACAGATGAAAACAATTATATTAATATTAACGCAACCCAGTAAAAAATTGTTGAACTTAAGTTAAAAATTTTTAATTGCACCATGTTTCATTATAATGAAAAGTTTTTAACTTAATGAAAGTATATCTTCATTATTATTATTCATCAGAGTCTGATATATTGAAAAAGTCTTCATAATCATGTGCATTTTGTATTATTTCATCGTTTGTTTTCCGTACTGTTTTTTCAAGGAGTTGCAATTTCAATGATTCAGCTTTTAATTTAGTTTGTAATACCTTTTCTTTTAAATCATCTAAGCTTTCACGCTCTTTCATACGTTCCTCCATAACTGTTATTAATTTTAATTTTTTTGATTGTAAAATGTCTGCAGTTTTAGAAAAGGAACAGGATCTTTTAGTTGAAGACGTTATTCCATTTGACGTAGATGCTACTGGCTCGAATTGATCATTCGAAAGAGACCTTCTTGATATAATGTTCTTCAGAGGTTCAGTTAAAGGGTTTTTCAGTTCGGCAGGAGCCCCTGTGTTCCAGTTTGTAGTACTGTTGGATTCCAAGAGGTACTGAAATAAAATTTCATTATAGAAATCATAAAAAATGAAGAAGAACTGTAAGAAAAAATAATAATCCATCATTATAATGAATACTTTATCACTTACTTCAAAAACTGGATCATCAGCTGGTGGTTGATTTTCATTCTGTTTATTATTCATATTATATTCTGAATCATTATCATAGGGGTTATTTAAACCTTCTATTGAGGGTTTAATTATACTGTATGTAATTTCTTCAACACAATTGAAGGCCAATTCCATTTGTCGACCTCCTGAAAATTATCTGAAGTCCAGAAATTTCCAATTTGCTCCATAGATCTATAATTTGGTGATGACACAGATAAGTTTCCATCAAATAATTTCGCGATTTTCACCCAACATTCATTTTTTTGAGCTATTATAATAAGGTCTGTTGCTTTGTTTTCGATGATGTTTCTATCTTCAAAAATCAATTGAACAATCTTTAACATTTCGTCAAGTGTCAAGTTAGGTTGACGGAGTCAAGTCAGATTTGTATTCATTTCTAAAAACTAGATACATTTAAGAATACATTAATTATATTTATAAATTAATCAGCATGATTCGTAATCATTTTAATGAATCATTAGGTTACTCGTCTATAGTGTGTGTACACACATATGTAATTATAATTTCAAAAACAATGGAAATATTTTCTTACCTACACTGGTCACCACACTAAAAAAAACGTTTATTAAACGCAAATATTAAAATAAAATAAACGAAAATCGACACTGCAACTTGTCACAAATACAATGATGTTATTTCTTTCGCGCTGAATCCTGGTCTGGTAAAGTTGTAGCACACTCTTTCACATGGTGGCGCTGAATGCATAAATTTTTTCATGGTTGACAGCTCTACTTAGTAGCTGCTGGAGTGGTGAAATTCACTCTTAAGGCTGGGCTTATGGAGAATATAATGAGGAGGCCGAGCTCAGAGACAGGATTTTGGTACTAAAAGTAGAGTTGGCGGATAGTTCTCCTAAATTCTACGGACAGCGCTGATGTCAAGAAGCGTCAGAAAAATTGAAACAAGTTGGAGAATAGGAGAAGAGAGAGGGATAAGAATATTGAAGCGCTACAGTGGTCGATCCGCCCACATCAGTTGAGGCCAGACAGCCTAGAGAAGAAGGTACAGAAAACATGATTTTTGCAGCTTCTAAAATCTGTAACTTTCTTCAACATCAATATTAAGGAATAAAAATTGGCAGACTAATAGAGAACAGTCTAATCTATAATCCTGCCCAACTAAAATGATTAGAAACCGTGAATCGACCTCGCGGGCAATTATGAGAGCATCAATTTTAGAAAAAAAGGTACAGAAACCATGCTTTTTCACCGTCTAAAATCTGTAACTTTTTCAATAACAATATTATAAAATAATGTACAATCGTGAATAGATCTTGCAGGCAGTTATGAGAGCATCAATTATATAGAAAAAGGTACAGAAAACGTAATTACTCTCATAATTGCCCGCGAGGTCGATTCACGGTTTTTAATCATTTTAGTTGGGCAGGATTATAGATCAGATTGTTCTCTATCAGTCTGCCAGTTTTTGTTCCTACAGTTCTTCAATAGTCGAGTATTGTTAATTTAATCGATGAGTTGGGAATTTTTTCATAAAAGCGTCTCCTTCAAAAGTACAGCGAGACGAAAAGCTGGACGCCAAAAGGTCAAATCAGCGTTCGCTAACTGTCCCTTCTGATATTCAATTTTTTTTGCTGATGTTCGCAATCGTCAATTTCTTGTTTTTCTTAAATTACTTTTCTGAACAATTTTTTTTCTGCGCAGAGAGTTGATTTCAGACTATTTTGTATTAAATTCATTTCTATTAGTTTTTCATTTTGCTTCGATTTTGGTCCCTCAGAGGGAACCACTTTCTGTCTTCATGCTCCTCCTCCTCTCAGTTATGATGCTCCGCCTTATATGCCCTCTCTTCTTCTTTATTTCGAAGCTTTCTGATGCTAGCGCCGCTTGTTGCGTTTCTGTGTACTACCCTACAACTCGACTTTTTGATACGTATTTTGCCTACTTCCCCAACGTCAGTGCGGCCTCCTTATTATATTCTCCATGGCTGGGCTGGAGTCAGAAAGTATCCCGGAGTTGACTTTACGCCCTCGCGTTGTGCGGCGAAAGGCCGAAGCTCGATATCAATTGAAATTGAGTAGGTAACAATGAAATCGTTCGAAAAATGATAATTTTCAGGGATGCACTACAATGAGGGAGCCTAAGGGCACCAAGAAATTTACAAATTTCAGAATAACCTGTTCCGAGCGAGACAGAGCAGAGAATATATCTATCTCCGTCTTATTTTTTAGAGAAGACTGCGAGTTTGAACAGTTGACGAGCAAGCACATCCCCCACCCTCTGTTACCAAGCCTGAAGCTTATGATATCTAAACGTAAACAAAGCAAATGAAAATATGCTGTTTCTGTAGTCAGAAGGTTCGACAGCGATTTTACCGAACGGTGTTCGATTCAAATTGCGGCAAAATTTTTTTTTATTCAAATTGCATGTAATTGCAATTTTATCATGCCAAACATGAGTTTTAAATTTCGATTTTTATGTAAAATTATTTTTCAATTAATCGATGACAAATGAGAAAATATTTAAACAGGGCTATTAACCTTTTTTTGTACAGATACATTGATAATAGCATGTGTTTAACAACTTATTAACAATAAAAAATAGTTTAAACAATCCGCGGTGAGTTCCGGCACTTCGCGGGCAAGCTTTACCTCCACTTTCTGTGCCCAAGCCTGCAGCTTATAATTTACAAGCATAAATAACTAGATTATAAACACGATAGCTCTGCGGTCAGAGCGCTGGACTTCTATTTTGCCGGGTAGGATTCGATCCTAGTCATGGCAAAGTTTCTTTTTTATTTATTAGATTTGTATGTAATTATAATATTAACATGCCAAAATGAACTCTTACTAAGGATTTGATTTTTTTTTCTCAATTATTTATGTAATTTATCGACGCCGAGTCGGAAAACCTTAAAAAAGGGTCATAAACATTTTTTTAAATACAGTTCTATGAGCGTAGCTTTTTTTTAAACAATTTAAAAATATTCATAGCCAATTTTTTTTCATTAAAATTTTACATAAATGCAATAATTGGTTGTTTATATTAGTTCAAAATCAATTCCTAGAGTCTTTTAGAGACAACATTTTCTAAAAAAGAGAATTCATAGTAACTCGTTCCTCACCTTCAGCTTATTTTCAGAAAAACAAGTTTTTCTTCGTAATTAATTGGATGAATATTTTAATAAAATATATAAATATATAAAGTATACTTAAACGAAAGAAAGGAAAAAAAGAATTTGCCATTACTAAGATCGAATCCTGCCTGGCAAAATAGAAGTCCAACACTCTGACCACAGAGCTATCAGGATAACAATTCTATTATTTATGCTTGTAAATTATAAGCTGTAGGCTTGGGCACAGAGAGTGGGAGTAGAGCTTGCCGGCGAAGTGCCGGAACTCTCCGCAAATTGTTTAAATTGCTGTTAAATATTTTTAAATTACTATTATATTAAAAAAAACTACATTTATATAACTGTACTAAAAAAGGGTTTATGGCCCTGTTCGAATGTCTTTTCCCTCAGCGTTCATTAATTAAAATATTATAAAAAGAAAAAAAACTTAAATTCTGATTGAGAATCAATTTTAGCTTATTAAAATTATAATTACATTCAATTTTACTATTAAAAAAAAAAAAGGCCGAAATTGGGATTGAACTCTGCTCGGCAAAATAAAAGTCTGGTGCTTTAACCACAAAGCCAGCATATCTCCAATCAAAACTCCATGTTTTTTTATCTTAAACTACATGCTTCGATCCGTAGACTTGGAATTGAGCTCGTTTGTTGACATTTATACCTAATAGACTCTCGCGGTTTCTATGAGCTGGAAAAAACCAGTTAAATTCCGGATAAATCATCGAACCAAAATTCAACCGTTTTTCCTCGGTTAAAAAACGGTGAAAGAGCAGTAAAATAACTCGCATATTTAACTGAATATTCACGGTTAAATCCCGGTTAAATGTTAGGTATTTAACTGAATAACACAAGTTATATAACTAACATATTTTTTATATATCTGGACGTAGATCACAGTTAAATATTGGTTAAAAATCGGTTTAATATTGGTTGAATAATAAAAATAGATCTCGCGTATTTAACTGCAAAAAAACAAGTTAAATATCAGTTTAAAAAAAAATTTTTTTTTCAGTAAATGATTAATTTTATATGTACTTTCGCCACTATAGTTTGTTTATAACAGCCTGTAATTGTTATAAATAGTGAAAAAACGTTAATAATAAACGTTATAAACAAATAAAATTCACGAAAGTAGATATAGAGTCATCAGGGACCTCATCTAGTCGATATTAAACGTACTCCGCGTACGTTTGCATGCAATTTCCAGAGATCCAGGAATCCCCAAGGATACGACTCTAATTCCAAAAGGAGAGAAACTCAATTTGTGTATTCAAATCTCACGTCGGGTCGAGGGTCACCGAACCCATACTCTCAAATATTACACTCTTCCTATATGATTCGATATTCTTACTCCACCTCGTCTTCATTTCATCGGGGCTGCGTTTCGAAAATCTTTGAAAGGTAGGTGAGAATTACACATATACATTTGCAGTCTTAAAATAATATATTCTCTCAAGGTCACGTGCCTTCTCCAGTTGGAATATATCACTTCAATCCCTGGTACGATCAGATCCTTACGTCACTATACATATCCTGATCCAGCTCAGTCAAACAATAATTTCTGATCCTAAAAAGTCCGATTTCCGAGCATATTCACCCCCCTTCCCAACCAACAAAAGCTCGACTGAGCTATTTCAATACCTCTTAGTAAAAAAAAAAAAATATATTAACATTTTAGACATACTATTGTTGGTAATTTAAAAATTATCGAACTGAGTAGACGTTGATAGTAGTTCTTTTTTCATTTTTAGATATTATTAAAATGTTATCATAATCAGATTGTATGCTGTATTCCAATAGCTGCCCATATTGTAGTTGCTCTGTACTTTCTTTTGATTTTAATAATTTGGCAAATGATAAAAATGATGTCTTATCTACACCTTTGATTTTCGTCTTTTCCAATTGCAATTTACCATGGCTCTTTTCCTTCATCAAATTGATGGTTCTACGAACTTTTGCGTAAGGTATTTCTGGCGCAATTTAACTATTCCTATAACAGTTTTCATGCTATAATAAATAAGATTTCATATTTTAAAATGTTTTATTACTCGAGGCGAACAAAATCAGATCTCATCAAACAAAGTATTGAAAGTTTAGCAAATCTAAAAATTTTGTACCATGAATTTGATTAAATTGCATTCGATCTCGATTTTTGTTGCCCAAGTATGTTGAACATAAAATATGATATCTACTCTATTGTTATCGCTGTGGTATAAATATCTTTGGTTTTCATATTTCTAATTGCACACAATTTCTTTATTCGTTGATATGCATTTTTCTTATCTAATAATACAGGATCTGGATTATGGTTATGCTGTACCTTCTGTACGTGGAATTTTACTTCAGTGAAGTATTCTGTTGCTGAACATTTCTTTTTTTTATCTTGATCCCTGATACACACTAGATACCTATTCAAAAAAAATGCTGTCCCATAGTCATTGATACTATTGGTCATATTAATTATTCATTGTTTATAAAATAGGTTATATACATATAATCAAGTAACAACACTTCTATAATGCACTAACTACTTGATATTAACTTTTATATTATATTACGTGATT